TCCTTCGAGTTGAGGTGATTCTGAAGGAAAAGATCTGGATGTTGTTTTGGGTAAAGTATATAAAGTTGATTTTCTTGTCTATTATTCCTTTCCCTAAAAATGATTTGTAAATAGAAGTTTCAGATAATGGAATATCTCTGCAGTGTGTGTGAGGTTTGTTGTCCCTCATGCTCATGGATTTCCCGCCTGGCTTAAACCATGAATTTAACATCTGCTCCACAAAAGGTCAATGCATGCCATATGAGACTATCACTTCCTTGAATCTCCTTAAATCTAACATTTTCGCAGGAGTCCTTTCAGCTCTTGCACGGCCTTGGGGAAATCTATCATTTAGCAGTTGATCCTGTAAAGTTGCTGGATAAATTAAAGTTTGAAAACCTTAGGCTGTTCCTCTCTAAGCTTAAAGTGCAATGCTGAGACTGGTTCCCCTTTAAATATCTCTATCTGGTTCTCAATGTTTCTAAGAACTGTTTTAAAAAGACTTTCTAAAACTTATATCTTGGCACTCAGATTAACCAACTTCTTTAGTAATAAGAGAAAAAGCAATAAAACTGAAAAAGTTTATAGTTGACAGTACATAAATTCCATCTAAATCAGTTATTCTTTCATTTAATTGTTCCATTTTAAACCATCCAGTGTATTATTATACAGAGACCTAACCACCATTGTCAAAGTGTTTCTTTTTTTCCTTAGGTTTTTTGAGAAAGGGTTTCTCTGTGTAATAGCCCTGGATGTCCTGCAAATCAAATTATAGACCAGACTGGCCTCAAACTCACCAGAGATCTGCCTGCCTCTGCCTCTCAAGTGCTCATTCTCATTTAAAAAAAAAATTCCCCCACCTTTAAAAATTCCCAATTGTCTCAGCAAATCCGCCGCCAATGATGACGTACACTACGATGGAGTGCAAAGCTGACTGCTGCTGAGGAGAGAGAAGCCTGAGTGGATTTAAAGGCAGCAATCCCAGGAGGGATTGCTCACACCTACCAGGAGAGGGAACCCACTGTCTAAAAAATGCAC